AGTTATACGACTGAATAGAGCGCTCACGTTCACGAGTGACTCGCCTATGATGGACATCCATGAGGGAAACAAGGGTCCGATTTTGCAGGTGTGAGCGTTCTCCTTTGTTTTTCTTCACTAGTGTACCTGATTGCTTGCTGCTTTCGTTCCCAGCTGGCGAATTTCATCCCACCATCTGCATCATCCGATTAAAGGACGATTTCACGATAAAAAGCAACCCATTCCAAATTAACCTAGGGATGGTGAGTGGTACACGAAAGAAGGAAGAACCATGAGAAACGGCCCAGAACCCGAGAAATGGTACCCCTTCCTTGCCCGTTGATTCGAGCATTGATGCGACTCTCATCGCTGTGCCCTCTTCAACACTACGCTCTCTCAGCTATCTAATCACTCGCCACGTATTGAACTACGGCGAGTGATCAGATGATCGGTGGGCGGAGATCGCCGGACCCGCCAGCTTTGAGGCATGATAGGTCGCCGAGGTCAAATTTTTCCATGCGAATTGCGCGTCAGTTCGCACCCTCAGGAGGTCCGTGGGTCCCTCAACTAGGTCAGTTTCCCTTTCTTCGACCTTCATTCTAATCGTGAAATTCCTTTTAATTTTTTTTCTAATTTTTCAAGGATGGTCAAAAAGATCGCTTCCTTTTCAAATTAATGCTTTTTGTAATTTATGATGGTCATAGATTAATATTGGTTTTTCGAAAGATGCTTAAGTTGATTTCAAAATGCGCAACAAAACACATATTTTTGATGCCCCAGCAGTCTTTCGCCCCCTTCTGTAGAAGCATAGGAAGCAAAGCTCGCTATCATTCCCTCCGAAGACGTTGAGAAACTAAGTGAGAATCATTATTCGGGTTTTCTTCAGGAGAGAAAATCTCATGACTTGGCGTTGATCCACCTTGTTTAAGATGCGCCACGCTTTTGGTCGCGAACAGAATCGCATTTATGATACTGAGGGTGATCGAGGACCAGGCGAGGTTCGCCATGGGTGATTATCTTCCCATTCTCTTTTTTCTAATAAAGAATAAGTATTGCTTGCAGAGGGGCTAAAATTAGTGCAAGATTATTGTGTGTAGTTTACTGTGTAGTTTAGTACACAACAGAACACAAACTCTATCGAATTTTATTAACATTCACCCAAACATATACATACAATAAGATACATATTATGAACTTATTATCTTGATATGGGCTTCGATAGTAATTGAATAGATAAAGCAATCAATGAAAGTTACGGCGACCGAAGGGTGGGCAGTAGCCGAAAGGTGGAGCCATCATGGGATAATGGAATGGACTGAATCCTGGAAAAGGAGCGGGTCCATGGCGAGGCCTTGGATGATGTCGATGACGTCCACGGAAATGTTCTTGGCTTCTGGAGCGGGATCTTGCTCCATGAGAACGACCACGACTTCTGCATCTGAAGTGGGGACGACGGCGATGCATTTGTCGTCGATCCATGGCAAGCTCATCGCAGCTAGAGCAGGAGACGTCCTCATCGTCGCTAGTGTCGCAGGCGAAGATTTTTAAGGTAGATGATTCCTTAGCGGCGTTCATCAGAGTTTCAGCGTTGTTCACCTTCACCGGCTCACCGTCGTCATCGATCCAAAAGACAGTCTCAGCTGGAATACCAAGGTCCAGCATTTTCTTCTTAAATATTCCGAATAGATCGTCCTTGTCCTTGTACGTAACGTTGATCCGCGGCGTACGGCTCATGTAGAGTTTCAGAGTGACGGCTTTCGACGGAGCATTGGAATCTTCAGGCATGATTGTAGTTCGAATGGGATCCATGCAGTGGCTGCGCTTAAATAGCATTCCAATGTGGTCGCGATCTCTGTTTCGAAAATCGGAAATGATCGCGATCTTTGTTTCGAAAATCGGCAGTGGGCGGAGCGACGGCGAACGGCGCAGGTGACCATTGGTGAGTCACCCAATGTGCACTCGAACTGGACTTTAGTCGTTTTGAAGGATGCGGGGGCAGTATCCTTGCTCACATCGCTCTGGACCTTTTAAACGTGACGGGAGATAATACTTGGTCGAGTTGCCGGTTTTTGGTGGTGACTGTAAACGTGTTCTTCGATGCTCACACTGTTTGGACAGTCAACGTGCTGTTTCAATAGGTGACACATTCTGTGCAACTCACCGTCTATGGAAATACCGAGAGCGGAGCATCCGATTTGGTTCACCTTAGAATTGAATGGCATGTTGTTGGCAATTATGTCAAGACTTAAAACCAATGAAGTCTTCGTGTACTTGAGACGGGGGGCATTTTTTCTGCTAGGGGTTCAAAACCATGAAGCGTTTTCAATAGTTTAGAAGCTCAGTAAAAGAAAAAACTGTAATAGGAGAAACTAGAAGCCTTTAGGGCAGTCAGCAGTTCATATATTTTAAGATGTTCGCCACTCTTTCAGGCTCAGTTCATGGAGGGCGCGCGCAATATTTTCCTCAACCTGCCTTCGAGTAAATGCAGCGCGCGGCGGGGCCAAAAGTCGATTTGCACTGGGCCTGCTGCGCATATCAGGGACGGGATGCAACAAGGCCAAACTCGAGATGGCGATCCAAACTCTTTAGTCGACATGACGCAAACTCTCCATTGGTCAAGATAGGCGGGAGAGCGTCCAGAGATTGCAGTTTTGAGAACTATCAAGGTTAGGGGCTTGCTGCACCCCCCCCGGAGGGTTTCCTTGCCACAGCCACAGATTGCGGCAGAAGTTAAAGTAGCGTTAAAATGCAACTACACTCAAGGCGACTGAAATACGGAGGATTTTGCTGCTCTTCTGCACTGAGTAAATCAAAAAAGAGCTATAATGACAACAGTAAATGAAAATAAGTTAAATCTCTCGGGATCTCAAAAATTCGATCGATTTCGTGAAGATGAAGTTCAAGTTCTTGCGGAAGTTCGTAGATCCACAAAAGATCTCCCTTCGCTTCGATTGCGTCAC